ACACACACACACACACACGGTGTTAGTTCCCGAGCTAACTATATTAGCTCGATGCTAATGCAAAAGCTAACAGTCTAAACTGAGCTTCTCCTTCCATTAAGCAGATCTGCTGTCCAACATCTCCACATTTTTGGTTGCAGGCTGAGTCATTTCTACATTCTCCTGTCTGTCGAGGCGCTCTGGTTTCATTTAAAAGAGCTGATCATCAGATATTGTCCAAGATTAAGCTTCAGTGTGGATAAGATCTCGCACAGACTCACTCCAGTAAACCTAGAGAACGTCATCATTTATAGCTATGATTTGTGGCTTTATTAAAATGGCGTCATCCGTTTGACAATATTTTTTAAAATTATAAAAACTAAACAGCCTACAGTATTTTTAAAGTCTTTGTTTTACAGTTGAAGAAAATGTTTCTCAAATAGAATGTCATGTTACAAGTAATCATGGATCCCTTTAAAAAAATGCAGTTGTCTTGTTTTGGCCAAAGCTCATCTCAAATGGATTCAGGTAAAAGCAGAAAGGGACCATTCACTGTCTCTGGGATGAGCAACTTACACATCTGGAAAGGCACTATCAATGCAGATAAGTACATAAAGGTTTTAGAACAATGCTCCCATCAAGACAATGCTTTTTACAGGAACGGCCTTGCCCATTAGTAAAACAATATTAAACTGCATTCATTATAACATCTGTAGAGGATAAACATGGTCCTGTCCTAAAAGTGTTGCTGCCATCAAATTCAATATTACCTAATTTTAAAGTACATTTTTATAAACATTTGCTATGTTTACYATGTTCCTTTGTAAATAAAACAAGGGTTTATGACATTTGCAAATCATTGTAGTCTGTTTTTATGTCCATTTTACAATTTGATTTCAAAATTGAGGATATGATGAGAGGTGCAAAATAATGTTTCTTACAAGAGTTCTGGAACATGTGGACTTGCATGTCAACCAAAGGAAACGATTGTCTGAAACTATAAGTCACTGAGGTTTTCTTCTTTTGGAAGATTTTRGTCACCTGGGGCAGAACATGAATCATTGTTATTTTACAGCAAYTACTACATTTTACTCACTGGTACATCTCAAGTAAAGTTCACAAGTCAGTCTTACCACCAGTAAGTCGTTAAAGAGAAAGACCTCTCGCTGGTGAACTCCTGTCCTCTGAGGTCGGTTGGAGTCAGGGACCTCGTAAAGCTGGCAGCAACACACCAGTCTACGATGAGGAAGGGATAGTACCTGAAAGAACAATCAGGTTGTTGATGACAATGTATTTAACAACACGTTACTGAGTCAGTAATAGAAACTTACAGGCTTCTTGCCAACAATGACCCTCTCCACGGCCTGCACTTGGGACACGTGGTCATCATTGGTTCTTAACTCCCATTTCTGTATTCGCTGGTAAATCCCGACCAACAGGTCCCTGGGAATATCCTGACCATTGTCGACACCTTCAGTGGAAGCAAGAACACCCAGAGTTTTAGAACAAGTAGCTGCACAGTAGTTTTCTCTTTTGGAAAATGCCTTCACACGCAAGACTGACATAGGAGAACATGTCCTAACAGTTTTRTAAAGAGTTCAATGCAATCTAATTACACAAAACTATGTTCACAAGTCCATCAACACAGAAGAAGTGCATGATGAAACCACTGTTTCATGAAGTTTTGAATTTGATTTATGGTCAGAAGTTTACATACACCAATGATGATTTCAATGATTAAATTTGTCCCTGTGATGTTTTATTTGAACTGGTGCTTTTCTAGGGTGGAATGACTGTATAACACGTAACTTCAATAGTTTCTAWCAACAAGATTTATAAGTTTGAATTGTGGAATGTACACAAGGTCAAAATTCTACACACAAAGTCAAATATGTACATTCATTCATGTAAATMTGTTTATAAGTGGTGCAAAAGATTCTACAACGTCTTCTAACTTGACATGGCCGACTAACTTCTCGATTGCGATCATTACTGACAACAGCTGGAAGTTTGTCTTTACCAGAATATAAAAGATTTGCTTGACCTCATTAGTTGAAATGACCAATACTYATCATTTACTCTTAGATTCAAATAAATGGTTCAGATGTTTCAAAACAACTTTGAAACCATAAAGACTTAAATGAGCCTGGCATGAACTGAAAATTGCTGGAACAACAGTATCTCTGTCCAAWTTAAATGATCATCTGAGAAGGTGATTGATCAGGAAAGAAGCTCCTGCTTTAAAAGCACTTTCAAACTCGACTGAACATTAAGCTTCTTGAATACCCTTCAAGAGGCCCTGACCTCAACCCTGTTGAAAATTTGTAGCCTGTGCTTCATTCCACCCTGGTAAAAAAATGGTTCACATATATTATTAAAATACCAAAATTAGTACATTCATGTCCGTGATGAATGTATTCATTTGAAACTTCTAACCACAACTGTATTAGTGTCTACTGTAAAASAGCACCTCTCAAATTCTTGATGAAATCCTCCAGCTTCATCTTCCTCTCAGCTTTGATGTTGGGACTGTACATATCCGTGTTGAGTAGAATTATGGCAAAGGCCAAGATGAAGATGGTGTCAGGGTTCTGGAACTGCCGAATCAACGTGGGATTACACACGCAATACCTCTGACTGAAGACAAAAAAAAAAAAAACAGCACATAGAAACGTTTTAACTTTGACCCAGTTGTCCCAACAAATAATCTCCAGGCTATTAGCTACCCATCAAGTACAAACCTGAATGCCTCGATGAGTCTTTCCACTTTTTGAGCTTCTCCTTGAACTTTGATTTGGGCCTGGAATTTCCTCAGGGCATCATCAAGGTCCATCCCTGAGAAGTCCATCTCATCCACCACACAGCTGAGAAACACACAGGAGCCAGAAATCACAGTTCAGTCTGCTTCACAATGAGCCACAACAAAATACACAAATTCAGACAGTGTGATTGTAACACCGGGCAAAATGTTTTAGCACATGACTTAAGGTAGTTCTTGTTTTACAGATATTGAGCTTAAATTTTGTGTTCTAAAAGCTAAGAGTCATCCTTAATTCCAAGATATAACAGATCCTGAGAGAGCTCACAACATACACTCACCGGCCACTTTATTAGGTACACCACGCTAGTAACGGGTTGGACCCCCTTTTGCCTTCAGAAC